CTTCAACGCGAATAGCCTTGAGAGTTTCAGTTAATGTTAGATCTCTTTGCTTGCGTCGGAGATCTCCAGCAAATCTAGACCAGGAAGAAGGAAGTTTGTCAATCAGACATGAGACTTTGTAATCATTAGTAAAGGCGTTTCCTTTTGATTGGATATGACGAATGTAATCTTAGAATTCATGAATTTATTCATTTATAGGCTTGTTATCAGCCATCATGAACTTATTGAAGGAAGAGAATGTGAAACGCAGAATTCCAGCATCATCAAAGTCATATTCTGCATTAAGAGCATTCCATAGGTCTTTGGCACTTTTGAACTCATAATATATGTCATAAAGATTATCCGTAAGTGCACTAAGGATCCTATGACAGCAGTGATATTTTATTTCTTTTGGCTTCATAGGACTAGAGAAGGAACTAGCATCAAAAGTAGAAATAGAAGGAGTAGGTTGTTTAGGTTCAGGACCATAAATAGGAGAGTTGGAGGTCATGGGTTGAGATCCAATGGATGAAGAATCAGGAGTGTCAATAGCAGATAAGAGTCCTAGGGTAATGAGCCAGTATCTCATCTGATTATCCTATTATTTTTAGTTGACACCGATGAACTTCTCAGGTTTGATACTTTTGGAATGATCAAGATTTGCCATAAGCCCGACTCAAGTTAACTAGTCTAGGTATTTTGAAATCTGATAGGAATAAAAAGTTTTGTCAAAACCAATCAACTAGTTACTTAGGAGTATGACTTTAGGGTATGTATTTGATTCAAGATTTTATTATGGTCAATTATTTGCAAAGGGTGTTTGTAAATATAGTTTATCTATAAACTAGTAATATTAACCAGTAAAATTACTAGCAGTCTAAACAGTTGATATTTGAACAGATTATGAATAGTAGAAAAATAGTAGTAATATTAATTACATAGTATTTCTAATGAACAGAACAATTTAATTTTGAAACAGTAATTCGTAATTAATAATTTAAATAATAATTATAAGTTTTTTTTTAAAATTAATTTTCTAACAGTAATTAACAGTAATTAATTACAAATAAAAATTATTTTGGATGAATCGATTATAATTATTAAGAGTAAGCATAATAATTTTGGATTTAACAATTAACAACTATAATATATCAATCTTCTAGATGTTAGGTCTTATGTTTATGAGCCTACTATCTAATCCAATTTTGATGATTAACAAACAATTCCTAATAATGTTTGTTGAGTGTTTGTACTTTCTTGTTAGGTATTCTATACAAAGATCCTCCGTTGGTGGTTGGATGGATTTGCACGTTCACGATGATATTCAAAGGAGGTTGACGAAAACGGAATGAAGCCATTTGTGCATTCAAGTCAAATATTCTCTATTACGCTTCATCCTACCAAGTCGAGCTTATTGAAGATCTATACCTTGGTATAGTGGTTTGTTAGTCTAGGTGTGTTTACTTTATGTGTTATGCTTATAAGCTTAAATATTACACACATACACTTTTTCGTTTTATAGCTTTCAATTTAAAATATAAAACAAATAGTTATATTTACATACATATACATTTATTACATATTTATCATCTTTATTTTGGAAAATAATGTATTTATGGATTAAAGACTTGATTACACTATTTTATATCTTTTCTCAAGTCTATTAATCTATTGAAAAGTGTTTCAAAATGTGTTTGAAAAGATTTCATCAAAATCAAGTTTTGACGATTTCGTATTCTTGAACAGTTCGTAAAATAATTTATTTTTCATAAATGTGAAATGAAATTTCAAAAATTCTTTTTCTAACATGTTTTATTACATGTTTATAAATATTTTCCAAAATTTTATCATTTTTGGAGTTGATTTACTATGACGAATTGGTTTTACAAAATCAATTGTTTAAGCAGTTTTTAGAATCTGGAATATCTGTTTTAAAATAGTGATTTCTCACAAATAAAAAGTGATATTTGAGAAATTCTTACTCTAACATGTTTATCTATATGTGTAGAAACTTTCCTCAAAATTTTATGATTTTGAGAGTTGATGTGCTATTTTTAATTGATTTTAGAAAATCATCTGTGTAAAATTTCAGGATCTGTCGTGCATGTGATCGGTCCATCAGTCGACCAATGATCCCATATCAGTCGACCGACACATAAAATCAGTCGACCGACCAGAGAGCCATTGTAGCTACCAACGACTAGTTTTTCCTGAACTGATTTTTGGGGGTTTTATCTGTTTTTTTTTTTTTTGTTATTGTTTGAGAACATATAAATACCCCTCAACCCTCAACACTTTTATATAACTAAGAAAAGTTTTAAAATAATTTTTTGCAAGTTTGTTTTAAGTTTTTAAAGATCAAAAGTGTGTTTTAGTTTTGTGAAGACAGTTTCAGAAGAAGAGGAGATCATCTCGATTTGAGCTTCAAGCTTCATATCTCCATCTCTCTTGTTTTAGAGAAGTTTTTATAAACTCATATTCTAGCTATCTATTGTTTTAATTCTCATATTTATACTAGATTGATTTGAGTTTAATTTTGATTTTATTATACTCATTGTTTACACACATCCCCCTTGAGCTTAAGTATTTTCACATATAGTAATTTGGGTTGTGGGTTGTATCTTTGAGAGTGAGCTTAACTTAGTTCTCATCTTGTTAGAGAACAAAACTCTTTATATTTATGCTTAATCATTGTTAGATCACATTGTAATACACAATGACACTTAGAGAAGAGGAGTGGCGTCGGTTGTAAATCCTAGGAAGATGTCGTAATTCCGAGCACTTGATAAATGTGATACAGGTTAGACCAACACTTAGAGGAGTGTATTGTGTATTGACAATCATGTGAGTTGTAAACGTTATCTGTGAGCGTTGAAAACTGTTTTGTGTAGTTATTTGAGTTGATAGTGGAGATTCTCCTCGAGGGTGACGAGCGGAGACGTAGGTCATGGGTCGACCGAACTCCGTGATTATTTGTTTGTGTTTGTGTTTAGCATTGGTGCACTTGTTATTATCTCATTGTTTATTTCGCCTATTGTCATATTGTTTATTCTTGCATATCCTTGCATATATGTCATTATATAAATCTCATTGCTAATATATTTGTTAATTAGTTTTAATTTGGCATCGTAATCGGATTAGATTAGTGAATACCCTACTCCCCCCCCCCTTCTTAAGGTACTTTCACTAGATTGTTGTCAATCTATCTTATTAGCATGCATATAAATCCGAAAAATAATTGAACAGAAAAACTGGCCCGATACAGGTAGCAATCACTCAAAGCACTGCCCTAGAAGGATTGAGAAACCGCCTATTGTCTGACTAGTCGATCCATCTTTCCCTAGCGTAAAGCCATGCCCGAAGCAATTGGCCTCTGTACTCAGGCGAGAGTATAGAGCTTTTTCTCAAATGAAGATGATTGCCCCAAAAAAATAAATAACAGAGATTTTGAGAGGGAGAAGAGTTTTTGGTTTTCAGAAGATAGAAGAGAGAAGAGTAAAACTTTTCTTTTCGTTGTTGTGTATTACGAACTGAGTTAGAAGCGGTATTTATAGGGTTTTAGAAACCCTAAGTTGTTGAAACTCCTCGCTGAATCCAAGCCACGTTTGCCAAATTCGCGCAGCAGTTTGAACTTCCCGCAAAACTCAGTGTGCGTTCTCCAAAACGGCCGTTGGCTAATGCGTTAGTCAAAAATAAAAGGGAATTCGAAACACGGCGAGAGGAGGCGGGCGGCTTATCCAAAGCCCAAACAAATTGAATGCCCAAAACACCCCCCTCCTTAGGACCCTCAAGGGGTAAAGAGAAGAAAACCAATTTAAACACCCACCTGTACACTAAATTAGGTGATGTGAAACTATTGTTTACAGGCAAAATGTCTTTTCTCCCTCTACTGTGCACAGCACAGCCAACACTTCATTTATCTTTGATAGAGTAACAAAATAGCACCCAGAAAAGAGAGGAACCCTTTAATTAACACTAGTAGAAAATTGAACAAACTAGACGGAACAAACTAGACGGAATTTTTTCCGTCTAGTTTGAGGCAATCTAGACGGAACAAATTCCGTCTAGTTTGTTCCGTCTAGTTTGAATCAATTTAGACGGAAATTTCCGTCTAGTTTGACAAACTAGACGGTTTTTATTTTTTTTAAAATTAACACTCAATCTAGACGGAATTTCCGTCTAGGTTGATACAATCTAGACGGAAATTCCGTCTAGATTGTCTAAAAAAATTACGGAGCCTCCCCCCTCTTTTTTCATTTCCCCGCCTATATTTTCATTTCGGCGCCTTTTTTTCTTCCCCTCTCGATCTAAACCCCACCCCCCCTCTCTTTCCCCAAATCTCTCTCTCTCGTCTCCACGCCGCCTGCTCCTCAAAACGGCGCCGAGATCCTCTCATCCCCCCCTCCACCTCCACTGCCAGCGCCGCCCTCTCTCATCTCCATCCTCACCAAGCCCTCAACCCAGCCCGCAACACTCCCTCCGCCTCTACCTCCCAAACCCTAACCCTAGCCCCAAGCACCCCGTCCTCCTCTACTTCCACGGCGGCGGCATCGTTATATTCTCGCCCGCCTCCGGCCTCGTCCACCTCTCCTCCACCGCCCGCTCCACCCGCATCCCCGCCCTCGTCGCCTCCGTCGCCTATAGCCTCGCCCCCGAGCACCACCTCCCCGCAAAGAGATGTCGACCGCTGGAGAACTTGCGTACTCGTACGCCGCCATCATCCTCTACGACGACGACATCCCCATTACGATACTCTTTCTTCCCTTTCCCCCCAATTTCAAGAATTAGGGTTTTGCTTCTTTCAATCTGCGGTTATTTAATTTTCATGAGGTTTAGAATAGAATTATTCTACAGTTTGTATGGATTACTGGGTGATTAGGTCACTAAGAATGCAATTATCATTAACTGGATATGTTTGGCAACAAATGCTTCTTTACTGTATAATGTCAAATTGTAAAAGCTATGGAGACTTGGGATCCAAATAATGCAATTTCTGTATAGAAAATTAGGGCTATAGAACCATGGTCAGTTCTGTCCCTGGTAGGTAGTTAAAATTTTGTACTTGTTAATGCCTATTTTGGATATGTTACATCTAAACTAACTAATAGGGGAGATATGACCACTAATTTGTACATTATTTCAACTTCTTCAGGGGGTAGTGATCTTCTCAGTTCGGAGACAAATAGCAGCGTAAAGGACACAAAAATTTCAATTGATTGCAGTAGGCCGGAGTCTCCGGTTGTGGAAACTTGCTCTAACCCATGTACGCGAGGTAAAATTCTATGGTTGGAGATAACTGAAATTTTTTCAGTAAAAAAGGTAAAAAGCTTGGATCCTTGAACAATAATTTTTTGCGTACAGTTCTTATGATAGAATGTCAATGTTGAATCCTCATCTGCAGTTGTGTACTCATTCCTTTTCCATGTAAGTATAAAATTTTTCTACTTAACTTCTAAACTTCCTTTGGTTTGGATGATGGTGACATAAAGGAGGCATAATCACTTTAACTGATAGCTCAAACCAGAGATAGACTTTAGCTTCACTGATACCTACATTTTCGATAATCTTTTTAGTTTCTTATGCTTGAATGTCGATGTGTCCAAAAACTGTATGACAAGTATTTTAAATCAAAACATGTATCTTGATTTACAGCTGAAATCAATGATATACATGGAGTACCCTGTGTAAACACTTCTGGTATTTTCATGGAGTTATGATTTCATTCCCTCTTGATTTACAGCATATGACTATGTTTGAAGGACTTCAACTTTTTGAGCAGCTGTTTGATAGTTCAGAGATTACAAGGCTAAATTCGTTAGCAAATAACTTGAGAGCCGCTGGTCATAAAAGAGAGTTCCGTGGTAAACTCCGTTATTTACCTTTTTCATATTCTCATCCAACAAGTTATCATCTCTCATTGTACCTTATTTTTGTTACAGTTTTTGTATTAATATTGCTATCTTAAGATCTTGATATGATTAACCAGCTTTTGCCAATCTATTTCTGCAATTAGAACAGTATTAGTTACTAACTTAATCCTATTCTTTCAAAAGTTGGAGGCTTTAGGCCTAGTTATACATGATTACCAATCTTCCTGTGTCTATGGATCATTTGCATACCTCTAAGTTATATGATGGAGCTTTTCAGGAGTCTTAACACTTGGGGAAAATTGTAAGGTTGAGAAAAAAAAACATTTGAAATATTGAAAAGAAAATATTAAGCGACCAGTGAAGAATTTGGAATGATTTGTTTAATATACAATTTGACTCGGGTAGATGCAGTTATCTTATAGATTAGGAGCAAGCCAATCTGATGAAATAGTTGACTGATATCATATATCATACCCTAAAATCTTTGGGCTAGTGAGAAATATGCATTATAATAGGCGATTTTCTAAATTTATATAAGGGAGAGACTCTTCTGTTGAATTTCTCTTTTTTGTCAGTCATGCTAAGGGCTCATGTTCCAGGTAGTCTCATGAACTTTCTCTCCCTTCCGTGTATAACCACAATCTTTTAGGCCATCTGGAATTATGTCATTCGAGAATTTTTCCCTCTTGTTTTTGTTTGGGTTGGTTTGGGTGGGTTTTTTGTTTTTATTTTTGTAAAGAGTTGTTTGGCATTAGTAAAGAGTTGTTTGGTATTTATAAAGAGTTACACATGAGGAGATATATTATCTTGCTTTTCAGATGTTTACATCTGTTATTTTCCCTCTTGCACCAGTCCATCCCTTCAGTTACGTTGTTCCAATACTTCAAGGATCTAACCTGAACAAAATTTAGGAATTTCTATAACATGATATCTTCTAAATTTATAGGAGGATTGTTGAATTACTGGTTTTTGTTAGCATGCTAAGGGCTCATATATCTTCCAGGGAGTCTCATGAACTTTGTCTTCCATCTATAAGTAATTACGATCTTTTATGCCATTTGGAATCATGCCATTCAAAGAGGGGTTTTTCTTTGTGATTTTTGTTTTGCCTTTTTTCCTTTTTTTTTCTGGGGCGGAGGGTGTGAGGTGGGGGTTGGGCTTGGTAGTGTTATTTCCTCCCATTAAAAGAGTTGTTTATAACATTAAGAAAGAGTTGCATATGAGGAAATTTTGTGCTTTTGCTGTGGATAAATTTGACCTCTCATAGTTTGGCATTACTAAATACCTTTTCTTTGGAATGATGAAAATCAGGGCGTACCTTTGTTGTATCCAAGAGGCCTATGAAAGGGCATGGGAGAGAAATGATCCAATTAGGCATCCCCATTGCTGAAGGACCTGCACTAGATGAAACTACAACTGGGAACTCTTCTGGTAAGTTCTTCCTTGTACAACATTTTCTGCGATTAATGAATTCTGTACAAATGTGCTATCATTATCTTAAAGCCCATTCTCTCAGAGCGGAAGGCGGAGGCTATTCCAAGCTTGTTGCAGGATGCCCTTGATCTATTGATCCAGAATCAGGTTTTGACTATTAAGCCTGATTATTGTATTATCGATTTTTTCAATGAGGTAAGCAACTGTTATTGATGCTCTGAACTTTGCTAACTATAATGATTTAACATACAAGCGTAACATATGTGCTTATGTCTAGGGTGACCATTCACAGCCTCATCTTTGGCCATCGTGGTATGGGACACCTGTTTGCACTCTATTTTTGACGGCATGTGACATGGTTTTTGGTCGAATTATTGAAGGAGATCATAGAGGAAATTATAGAAGTCCCCTCAAGCTTGCCATTAAATCTGGGTTCGTCTTCCTTTATCCCACTATGATATATGCATTTTAGTGCATCATATATTAGATGTATCCATACAGCATCTTGTCCATACAAAATATTCTGCTCTTACAGACTTTCTATTGGGTACCTATATTTTGTTTTATTTGTTAAAATTTGGATTTCTCAAACAGCGAGCTTTATATTTCAGCTTTTGAGTTACCACTCCAAGCATTAATCCACTGAGATCCCAAGGCTTATGTATAATAACCTAGACGGAATTCCGTCTAGGTTGCCAACCTAGACGGAATTTCGTCTAGGTTGCCAACCTAGAGGGAATTCCGTCTAGATAGCAACCTAGACGGATTTCTTACTTCCGTCTAGCTTGATATCCGTCTAGGTTGGTCAACCTAGACGGAATTCCGTCTAGTTTACCACAACCTAGACGGAAACAGATTAAACCGAGCAAACTAGACGGAATTCCGTCTAGGTGTACCAACCTAGACGGGAAATTGAGCAATCTAGACGGAAATTTCCGTCTAGATTGCTCGTTTTTCTACTAGTGTAAATATATGGATCAGATCAATCGGCAATCAGCTCTGAGAACATTTCTAATTTATATGGTCACAGTCACAAAAGCCTCCAATTTGGACTGTTGAGAAATTTGGGGCAAATAGATCCAATGGTAGGAGTCACTAGCAAGAAAAGGTATGTTTTTTTTTTAAACATAAACAAGGGTACAAAGCTCTGCTCATGCCTTGAGAAAGACAACCGAACCAATTTGCATGCAGATCCAGGCTGGCTTCCCACATCCACTATGACTACCCACCATATGAGATATGAGTAAGAGATGGAAAATATATATACATATTTAGATATACAACAGCAGCAAAAACCACGGTCTTCACTTAAAATATATGTATTTGGTTACACACATTATTTTCTCCCATAATTATTGGTGGTAAACCCCATCTTCTTGATTAAATTAACAATTGAAATCTCATTCTAATTCATGTAGTATATTTCTCTAATCCTTGATTGTTTGTTCTATTATAATATAACACTATTGGTTCCTTTAACCATCTCTCTAGATTTACCCCCAATAAAGATGATCTCCGATTTCTTATGGAAATATTAACCTCTTGTTTCTATTGTTGCCTGGCCAGTGGCAACTCATCCATCTCAATACATACAGAACGAAATTTTTTATTAAAAAAACTTTTTTGAAAGAAAGAAAGAAATGCACAAGGTTGTATACATCTCTTATTCAAGAGGAGGAATCCTATTGGCAACAGAGGTCTAGGATTCAATGGCTAAAAGAAGGTGATAATAATACCTCTTTCTTTCACAAAACAGCCTCTTTCCATAAGAAGTCCAATTATATTACTAATATCATACATCAAGGACAAGTTCTCACTGATAATCAAGATATCAGACAAGCTTTTCAGGATTACTACTATAATCTCTTTGGTCAAGCCAATTCTAGGCACTTTTCTATTGACTGGTCTTATTTATATCCTGATCAAGAGCCTCATCTCCCATCTTTGGAAAATCCTTTTTCCGAATCAGAAATATATAATGCTGTCTTCAGTATGAATCCCAACAAAGCTCCAGGTCCAGATGGATTCTCTATGCTTTTTTATCAGAGCTTCTGGAATGTTATCAAAATTGATCTCATCTCTATCATGAACTCTTTTCATCAAGATCCATCTTCTCTCCACAGAGTTAATAAGGTATACATTACTCTTATTCCAAAGCTTAAGGATAGCTCTTTGATGAAGGATTTCAGGCCTATCAGTTTAATAAACTGTTTATTCAAAATCTTCACTAAAATCCTCGCTAACAGATTATCCCCTCTTATGTCCTCTTTGGTTTCTCCTACACAATTTTCTTTTCAATCAGGGAAATCTACTTTGGACTCGAGCCTTATAGCCAATGAATTTATTCATTTTTGTTCCAAAAGGAAAAAAGATGTTTCAATGTTGAAAATTGATTTCGCAAAAGCTTTTGATTCTGTTGATTGGTCCTTTATCATTGATCTGCTTCAAGCAAGAGGGTTTGGTGCCAAATGGTGCTCATGGATTTATCACATTATCTCATCATCTAATTGTGCAGTTCTAGTTAATGGTCATCCTACAAATTTTTTTAACTGCAAGAGGGGTCTTAAACAGGGTGATCCTTTATCACCTATGCTTTTCAACATATCAGTTGATGTTCTAAACAGGATGATTATGAATAATGCGGAAGATGGTACTTTATCTACTCTTGGTATTAAGGAACCTCTCAATCATATAAGGAGTCTACAATTTGCAGATGACACCATTCTTTTTGTTAAAAGCTCCTCCAAAGATATATCAGTACTGAAAACCATTCTTTATATCTTTGAAGAACTATCAGGATTGGGTATCAATTATTCAAAGTCTTCTTTGATTCATTTTGGTAGAAATACCCAAAGAGGAATTGATCTAGCTTTGGTTATTAATTGTAAAGTGGGTTCTCTGCCAATCAAATACCTTGGTCTACCTTTAAAATGTGGGAAATTATCAAAATCTGATTGGCAACCAGTTGTAGATAACCTTCATAGAAGACTAGCATCATGAAAAAGGAATTATCTTTCTTTTGGTGGGAGATTGGTCCTTTTGAACTCCGTCCTTACATCTATACCGCTTTATTATATGTCTTTTTATAAGTTGCCTAAATGGGTGATCAATGAAATAGACAAAATCAGAAAGAACTTCTTATGGACAGGAAAGATTGAAACTAAAAGCTTTAAATGCCTAGTTAATTGGAAAAAGGTATGTTCAAGCAAAATTGAAGGAGGTTTGGGAGTAAAGGACATTAACATCTTCAATAACTCTCTTTTATCTAAATGGTTGTGGAAGTGCTTGGATAGAGATTCTTTTGTAGGGTCTTTTCTTCATCACCTATATATCAACAGAGATTCCTTTCTACAGACCTTACGTCCAAAATCATCAAATTCAGTTTTTTGGAATGACATCATAGCTCATAAAGAGGATTTTCTTCATCATATTTTTTGGCATCTTGGATCTGGAGACAAAATTAGATTCTGGGAGGATAAGTGGCTAGGACATAATTCTCTAGCTAGTCTTTTTCCTTCTATTCATAAGCTTTCTTTTTCTTCTAATATATCCGTGAGAAGTCAGGGTTTCCTTCAAAATAATAAATGGCAATGGCGACCTGTGTTGAGAAGGAGTTTATCACCTACCTCCCATTCTGATAGAGTTAAGTTTATACAGCTGCTAGGTATGCTTAACATATCAAATCAACATGATCATCCAACCTGGTCCCTCACATCTAATGGAATTTTCACTGTCAACTCTTTTTATAAATTCCTAGTCTCGAGAGGTATTAGATCTTCATTCTACAATCTTACTTGGAATCCTATCTTGCCTAGCAAGATCAAGGTTTTTACATGGCTTCTATGTCTTAATAGATTGCAAACAAAGGAGATTATTATGAAGAAAGGCTGGCAAGGTGATTCTGTGTGTTCTTTTTGTAGACAACAAACTGAATCTCGAGATCATCTGTTCTTCTTATGCCCTTTATCATTACAAGTGTGGAGTCATTTCAAAAAAATTCCATTACCATTTCAATGGCCTTCCTCTCTTGTTGACCTTATTTATATCTTAGAGAACCTTCAAAGTACTACAGGATGTATGTGGCGTATCATTTTTTTCTTCAGTATGTTGGAGTATTTGGACTGCAAGGAACAGATTTCTTTTTGAACAAGTACATTTCTCTCATCTCACTATAATTAATTCTGCAATTTCTGGAATTTATGATTGGTCAGTTGCTAAATCAGGAGCTAAAGCTGAACAAGTCTTGGCCATGCTTGAAGCCAATCCTCTACATGCTTGAAGCCAATCCTCTACCTAGGAGTAATGCAGGATGATTGTTTTGATAGTTTGCTTTGGTGGACTTTGGAATTATGTTTTCTTGTAAATAATCCTTGTTACCTTTTGATTTTTTGTTATTTGTTAGACATCAGTAGTTTAGTTACTTTTGATTATATGTATGGCTGGCTTTGGTTCTTCCTTAAATCTGTGTCAACGGTGAATGACGACAAGGTCCTCTCTTCATCTTCATGGATCTTTGGAAGAAGAAAGTTATACATCCCTAATCACAAGGAACTAAATCTACTGTTATCTAACATATGGATACACTTCGTGTCCAAAGCTTTTGTAACAAATATTTTTAGTTTTAATTGAACAGGGTTTATCCCTTGTTTTTCCTTAAAAAAAAAAAAATTGCTAGTGGATTCTACACAGCTTTTCCCCCTTTGAAAAAGAAAGTAACGAAAGGGAAAACATAGCATAGCCACTCAATAAAGCCAACCATAAGGTCAGACAAATGCGGAGCATCAGAAAAAAAAACAAAGGAGTAATCACAAATATATATTTTAAAGGAGCTTGCTTCCAGAAGGCTTTAGTGATAATATTAATAAAATAACAGCTATGGTTTTCTTCGTCAGCTGATGGAAGGGGGAGCATTTTATAGAAGCAACCTCCCTGATGGCTCAACAGCAAACATAAATTCTTTGTTAGAAGAACTTACCAAACTCTTGAGAATCAGGGAAATTATAAGCGAAAAGCTTTTCTAGACAAATATCATTATATCTGGCAACAATTTTTACAGAGTAAAAACTGAATTTAACAAGCACGACAAAAGCCATAGCAACAAAAATAACAACCAAAAGCCTTAGCAAATAATGGTCATGAAACAGAATTAAGAGAATACAACAACAACAACAGGACAGGAGAACCATTTTGACAACATTTTCTTTAGACCAAACTCCTCGCTGAAATTTTTACATTTAAGGGGACCGTCATCCACAAGACGAAGGGTTTTCCCTGTCCCTGAGGGCTTGTTTGGATTGAGGGGAACGAGAGTGAAAGGGAAGTTAGGGGAACGATTCATCTTGTTTGGGAACACTTAGGAGGTGAAGTTAATTCACCCTAGTTCTTCTTGATTCACTTCCTAATAGTATAAAATTTGTTACCCCAAATTGGGGTATAACCAAGAGGAAGGAAACTCCCTTCCCTTTTTCCCCCCACTCACAACATAAAAAAAAAAAACAGAAGTTAAGTCTCTTCAACTTTCACGACAAAATTCTTTCTCAAATCTCAATAGCACAACAGGGAATTTATTCACAAAAATCTTTGACCAAACAAATAAAAGAATAATTGCTCTCAATAAATACCGACAGACGAACATAAATCCAACTCTATACTGTAGAAGGAGTTACAAATTTTCCGTCATGGTTCTTCAACTTCATCCATAGCCATAACCTAATCAGCGCTAAAAGCTACATGATATAATCCAACATAAAATCAAGAACAGAAACAAACACGACTCGTAGATATAGGGACCAGAACCAAAAGCATGTAAAAGATCAGATCTTGATAATCTTAGCAGGTCTGATGACAGGATTCTCCTTAGAAATCTGTTCTCTCGCCAAAGCCTTGTAATCAAACGAACAATCGTGGACATCGGAATATCGGTGCTGACCGCAAAAGAGCCTGCCGCATCTGCACCGGAATCCGGTGAGCCCAACCTTCTTCTGGCAGTTCGAGCATCGGTTTACTGATCGGCTGAGGGGCTTCGATTCCTCCAGTTTCTCGAGTTTTTTAGCTGAGGATCCTTGAACGGAGTTCGCAAACAGAGGAGGATGTGATGATGATGACGACGACGACGACGACTTGGGAGGAGTTGAAGAAGAAAGAGGTTTCATTTTCTCAGCTGTTTCCTCTTTATGAGCTGGGGAAGGGGAAGGGGAAGGAGAAGATGGAGAAGAAGAAGAAGAAGGCTTGAGGATCTCAGTTTCCTCTTTATCAAGATTACAACTTTCTTGAGCCATTTGGTATGTAATAATCTAGAAACAAGGGAGGAGGAAAAAACCCAAAAAAAAAAAAAAAAAAAAAAAAGAAAACACACAAAGAATTGATCGATTGAGATATCAAAACATGAGTTCTTCTTCAAAGAACCCAAAGTTTAATAAGCCAACAAAGTGGGATTTTTCCTCCTTCGGATCGGAAAAGAAATTCAGAGCTCATCAAGGATTCGAGCATAGAATGGGAAGATCTAGGACTTAAAACAATTACAAAACCCAATAAAAATTGGGAAATTTTGGGGGAAACAAAGAGCGTGAAGGGGGGATTAATAAAGAAAACTACGAAGAGAATGATGAAAGCCTGTCGATTGGACCGAGGGAAGCGAGGGGGGAGAGGAAGGGAAAGGGGACCTCATGCTTTTAGAGGGGGTGGGAAAATAAAACGGAAATGCAAATAATAATAATAATAATAATAATTAATAAATAAAAAAATAAAAACAGACAGTCAGCTGGGCTTATAAAATAATATCCACGTAGCTATTTTATGGGTCTTAGCTATGTTAGTCCCTAACATCTTTAGTATTTTGAGACTACTTCCTCAAACATTCAAGGTGATATTACGTCCCCTAATTCTATCTTGCATCAACTATTCTTGATTGGAGGGACGAACTATGAGCAAATTATAAGAATTTAGAACTTAATAGCAATTTCAATAATTTGACTGACTAATCTAAGGCAACTTATCAAAAATTAGGGGACGTAATAGCAATTTCACTTATGTAAGGGAATAATTTAAAAATTTTAATGATGTAAGGGAATAAAATAGAAAAACCTTTTCTTTATTAATTTCTATAGGGATGAAATAAAGTTAAAAATGGTTAAAATGGTGGAGGGTGAGGCCAAAAAGAAACCAGCCACCAATGATTGATCATTTTCATGTGGTTATGTCTCCTCTCTCGTAGATCCACCCTTCATTTGATGGACCACCGAAAGATTTAAGATCAGACATTTTTATAGCCGCTGGATTAAAATCAAAGACTTTAGTCTTTAGGGCAATCTATAACAACAATACAGCATCAAAATATGGAGGATCCTGAGTTGAAGCTTGTGGACCGGAGCTTCGGTATGGAATGAGACCCGTATGCATCACATGTCCATTTGCGTATGTGGGCCAATATCAATCCGGGGCCCATCTATCATGAAGAGGGCATAACTGGATCACTGACGCACTGTTGCGTTCCCATAAGGAGCTGTTTGGTTACGGTTTTTGGATGGGTAAAAGGGGAGAAAGCTGTCAAAAATATCAGCTTTTTGACAGCTTTCCCCCAAAATCGCCTTTTATAGAGGCGATTTTGGGGGAAAGCTGCCAAAAAGCTGACATTTTTGACAGTTTTCCTCATTTTTACTCATCCAAAAAACACATCCAAACAGCCCCTAAAATATGCATACTTTGATATTGTTGTGAGCCTATTTATGAAAAATTATTGGTATAATTTGTTAAATTGCCAAAAGAAAAAAAATTCATTTATACCATGTGGGTTTTCTCAGTGTATATACTTCAAATTATACCTAGTTTTGCCGTCCAAAATCTTTCTACTATGTAATTTGCCTCGTTATTTCCTATGTTCAATTTCATTTCCCCAACCTAACTATTAGAGTGAGAGAGGGGCCGGGGGGGTTGAATAGGGTAATTGCTAATCTAATCCGATTTCGATGCCAAATTAAAACTTATTAATAAATATTCTAGTAATATGATGTACAACGAGATATATGCAAGGATAAACAAATAACCAATAGGCGATATAAACATGCACAAGATATAAAATCAAGTAGTACGTTAAAACAATCGCAAAGACAATGATATTGATCACGGAGTTCGGTCTAACACTCGACCTACGTCTCCGCTCCTCACTTTGAGGAGATATCCATTAAAAACAAGAAAACGAAAAACGCTCAAATTTTATTTTGAAAATTAAACTTGTTTTGGCACCCAAACTCTTTTAGTGCTGAAGAGTTTAGGGACATGATCCCTATCAATGTAATCCAATGCCCTTGGGTTATGACCCTACTTGGGCACATTCAGTGCATGTGTTCGGCCGTAGCAATAATTACACAAATGACCTATCCTATTGCAGTAAGTACAATTGAATGGATGCATATGTTTTTGTTGACCATTTGATTGTCCACGAGAAACATTTGCAAACAAAGGTAATTTTTTTAAAGCATTTTGCAAATGTGAAACTTTTCTTAAATCAAAATAAAACTTTGCCAAATGGCCAAGTCTTCCACAAAAATCACATTTAAACACACTATCATGCTTATGATGAGCAATGAGTGTATGTGTATGTGGTGATGAAACTTGATGGGATGCACAAGGAGGAATAATATTGGACTTAGTGGGTTTTTGTGCATCACAGCAAAATTTAGCAAGATGACATTTACGACCGCAAATAGAACATTTATAAATTTTACCATACATGTGTGCATAGTGTACGGATGGTTTGGAAATAGTAACTCATGACTTAGCACACAAGTCCATAAGTTTTTTTTATTGTCAATGCATTTAGTTATGGTTGAATCTAAAGAAGATATGCAGTTTTTTCACATGATTCAACTCATCATTTATCACATTTGCATTGGCAAAAGAAATAGAACGAACATAATTATTTTTGAAAGAATTAAATTTATTTCTAATTGATTCTACTTCTAGCATGGCATCATTCTTAGCATGAGATAAGCTAGTTATATTTGAGATCAAAATTTTATTTTCCAAATTTAATTTATTACTGTTTTCTTTAAGCATTACATTTTTCTTAGCAATAATATCAAATTTGGATGCTAGCGTCTCATGATTGGATTTTAAAATAACATGCTTACTTTTTAAATCTATAAAATTATAATGTAATTTATTATAGGCGTGTATTAATCTCTTATATGCACAAGCGAGTTCATTAATAGAAAGTTCACTTTCAGAATCAAACTTGCATACCTCATTAGGGCCATCGCCTAGTGGTCGTGTGTATGATGATGCTTCAATCGTACTTAAAGTAGAATCTACCAATACATGTTGGATCTCCTCCAAGTTGCCTTAATGTGCTTCTATAAATTTTTACAATTTGTAAGCAATGTCAAAATGAACAAGTTTGTTAGAAATAGATGGTTTAAAATCTTTAAGCAAAAATCTAACAACTTATTCATGATAAACATCTTTTTATCATTATTACTGTACTTGGATTTCTCTAAAGTGGGTACAATATAAGGATAACGATTTATTTCTCATAAATCGATATGTTTAGATCTAACAAATAGTTTAAATCTAACACACCATTGAACATAAGGGAACTTATTGAATTTTGCAATATCAATAGCATAACCTAAACTAGGTGCATTGTGCATATTCATGATATAAATATAAGCAAGATAAAAATTATAAAAATAGATTAGCAATAATGCAAAGCGAGGATCTTTAACTCTAGGCGATTAAGCCACGAATCAATAGTACCAAGCTTTGATACCAATTAAAAGTACCCTAGAGGGGGGGTGAATAGGGTAATTGCTAATCTAATCCGATTTCGATGCCAAATTAAAACTTATTAATAAAAATCCTAGTAATATGATGTACAATGAGATATATGCAAGGATAAACAAATAACCAATAAGCGATATAAACATGTACAAAATATAAAATCAAGTAATGCGTCAAAACAATCACAAAACACAATGATATGATCACGGAGTTTTGTCTAACACTCGACCTACATCTCCGCTCCTCATTTGAGGAGATCTCTACTATCTCAAAATAACTACACAATTGGTTTTCAAAGCTCACTGAAAACTTTTACAATTCAAACGATGTCAATCACACAAGACACTCATCTAAATGTTGGCCTACCCGTGTCACATTCCTTAAGTGATTGGAATAGCTACCTCTCCCTAGGCTTTTACAACCAAGCAACTCCTCTTAGAATTTGTTGGATATTATGTCTCCATGATATAATTTTGATGATAATAATTTATTCATAATATGAATCACTATGTGTATTATTATGCACTAACATTTTAATACAGCTATCAACATGAACAAGCGTAAGATGAGTTAAAGGCTTCATAAAGTAAAGAAGATGAAGAGCTTATACATTAATATAATTTTTATATTTTCTTTACTTAGAAAAATTGTACAAGCCTTGATCACTCACTGTAAGGACCGTGAAATTTTAATACTAGTTAAAATAATTTTTTGGTATTTTAATATATTTAATTATTATTTTAAAAGAGTATTTGTATTTTTCTTAATTTTCTATATTTTTCTATGATTTAAAATCCAAGTTTTATATTTATTTAAATGCTTTAGATATTTATAAATTTATTTAGTGCAATAAAAATTTCTAAAATTTATCTGTTCTGTTATCGATACTATTACGTATCATTTTGAATAATATGTTATATTATTTTTACTATTACATATTATTTTGTATAATACATTATATTATTAATTACGTATTATTTATATAATTTATTATATTATTTCTATTATTGTATATTATCGGTTGTATTAGCACAACTGGTACGTTTTACTGTGTGGATAATTATCCCATAATTATTAGATTTTAAATACAAGTAATTAAATTTTTATTAGTTATTCTTGTCTAATTATACAATTTCTTATATTATTTCTGTTGTTATGTATTATCGGTTATATTACTACAACTGGTACGTTTTGATGTGTAGATAATTTTTACGTAATTATTTAATTTTTTTGTGATTATTATTATTTTTAATTAATTTTTTAGGAACCCTAATTTCCTCCCTCTCTCACCAAGCCCCCCCTCCCCACCTCTCCCACCTCCTACTCCTTGTTTGGGTAGAAAATTATTTTCTTCATTATATAACTCATTACAACTTTAATCGTTACAATAAGTTCAAAAAGATCGGTCTTTTTAAAAGACCTTTACACAATAAAAATAAAAGATACAATTCCCGTTCAAAACAACACACAACATGTGTTTATCGCCTATTGCTTTGCGTGGGATCTTTGCTTGTGCCGGGGATTTTGATATCCGTGGACCGCTTTAGATCTGGATCCGGTTGATGGAAAATTGGGCAAAGCTTCGCCTTCACCGGGGGAGTATTTGATTTGAAGCACTGAGATCGGCCAAGCAAAATCAGTACTCTTATCAAGATTAAGACCAAGCATAATCTCAAGGAACGGTGGAATCGGGCTTCAGATCATTCGAATAGCTCATTCTTTATGCTGGAGTTCACCGGAATCTCGCTAACCCTCGCTAAAATTCGTGACTCTTGGCTCTGGAGTTCGACAACACCTCCTCGTCTTGATAATAATTCCGTCCCCCCTGAAAGGAGGCCCTAAGCTTGTATTTATAGGGCTCCGGATGCGGGTATGTGGAT